GCGTAGGAATTCTACGGCTAACTGTAAGAAGGCTGGCAGTAGTGCTTTCAGTAGGAACAACTATGGCAGTATGTCTGACACAGGCCACTCCACCGAACTCCCCTGCTGTGATAGGGGCTGACAACTGGGGCTAATGGAATCGCCTGCCGCAGTGTGGTCGATTAGGAGACAGATCGAGTAGGCAGGTGAGGTTTTAAAACCACAGTTATTTGTATTTTCCCTGAGACTTGTCAATACAGCACTTGTGTGCATAGCCGGTGTGTTTTCTTTCTCTTAACGAGGCTGGCAGAACCAGGCAGGCAACACCTGCAAGCCAATTTCATAACTCCGGAAGTTACGCTAAAAATGCGACTGTTGCAGACAACTCCAATACTCCACCCCATTTGCAACACTTCCCCCCTAACCTATTTCATCTGACCACCCTTCACCGAAAAACAGAAAACAAACCAATATCATTAGCATCTGGGCCGGAATTGTATCTTGGAACACTCCAAAACCAACAGCTGCTCTTTTTACTATCACACCCAAGACTAGTGAGAAAGGCAACGCTGCACTGATGCGCATCAACTCGCCCGGTCTCCCTACCACGACGCATACTCCTCGGAATGACCCACAGAAACAACCGGATGTCCAATCCATAATATGTAGCAACGTTCCGGAGTCAAGATAACATCATTTGAAAGGGAAACATACGGATGACATAAGCCAATTTAACACCATAAACTACCTGCTCGGTATCCCGAGTTAGCCTACCAACCTGACGAAAATCATGCGCCACCCGCATTCCATACATTACAGTGAAGCTAACCATCTTTGGATTGTGCTAAACTCTGTCGATGTACTGGAAGCAGTGTTGTTTTCGACGGCTCGTCTTCAGAACGGATTCTGTTTGGGTCGCGTCTTATCAGACCTTCCATGGGGCGAGCACAGGATAGCGAAGCAGAGCTCAGATCAATACTGCTTAGACACAGCTGCCAGAAGCGTTTTTGCCCACGGCGAATCCCAGTCTCATACGGACGACAAATGCGAAGCAATCGCTCACGACCAGGAGCAATGACGCTATCTTCGTGAGGCCCTGCGTTTGAATGTGATAGTAACTACTTCTTCCTCGAGGCTTTCAAGATCAGAAAGATACAAAGAGTGTGGCCAAGGATAATGCAAGTTACGCTACAATCTAGGCAGATGGCAATCACTCAGGAAAAGACTGCCAACAGAGATCCAGTCCAATGCGGCAAGCTAAACTGTAGCTCGAATCAATGGGCCACCTCTGTAGGCAAACGAAGTGGGGATCCCATTCGAAATGCATACTGGTAGCATGTCTGAAAGAAGTGATGTTCGTCCTGTCCAATCCGGTATCCATTCTGCATGCATTGCCCAAACTGACTTAGCAGAGCGGGTAATTACGACGCCGACAAAGTGAACTCCAAGCGACTTGCTTTTAACACAGCAAAACTCGATTATCGGCCGAACATACAACGTTCAGCACAGGCTCTCACCCAAGCCACTGTCTTTCGGATCGTTGCTGAGAACCGGTACACTTATCTGCATGTGTACCAATGCCCAAGGCCTGTTCAGCAGAATCGCCGAGCTTTGGTTGCGCCAGGTAAGAAATATTTGGGATCTCATCTTCATAACCTAGACTTTATTGCACTCAGAGGTTACAGGTGTCCTGATGGCGATTCGGGAAATGTCATTGTTCGGACATGATCTTCCTGGTATGTGAAGTAGCATAGTCCTATACCATCACAACGACTTTGAATACAGAGTATTGCACGCTTCGGAGACGCAGGTCGCCGATTCGCCATGTTGCCGTTTGGGTCTCAAATGGTCTTCCTTCGTGTACTCTCGTAGGTAACAGAGGCAATCATCGCTGAGGCTTAAGTCGACCATGTAGAAGGTCATAACATCTTAATACCTGAGCGGTACGGTTTTTCCCGAAACCGTTCAAGCACTACCAACCTGCTGGTTGCACTCAGCAGTCGGACGGCAGCTGCAGACTAAGGGATAGGGACCGATCCCATTTATCTCGACTTCTCTAAAGCCTTCAATCGTCTGAATCATCACACTGCTTCACAGACTCTAAAGCTGGTTGGTGCTTAAGTCATTGCGCGATGCAGACAATTCCTACGGGGTTGGCAAATACAGGTTAGAATTCGGAGCACGCTCTCCGATCCGATTAATGTCGTATGTGGTATTACCCAAGGATCACTGCTGGGACCGCGGCTGTTTCTCGTGTTCATTAGCAAGCTCATGCATTTGGTTGCGTCAGATTTCTTGTTTTGTTGCTGATATTAAGATCTGACAGCTGGTCGCTGTTATGGGGACCCAACGTCCCTATAATTATTAAAGGCGTAAATTACGGAAGGCTGAAAACCCCATTCACTACAGTGCACATGTACTCAGAGCAGACAAAACGCACACGTTCAATCAGCCTTCCAACTCCTATAACATGCACATTGTTTAGCCGTTGCACCCAGAAACAGTCTAGTTTCCAACCAAACACGCATTGTTGTATCCAAGCAACATTCATTTTTCCGGACAACTCTCGCCAAACTTCCAACATTTCTGCTCAGTTTACGGACTTTGCACATTTACATAAAACCATGTTTCTTGTTTCCAGGGTTTGCTTAAGCAAACCCTTCCAAGGAAAAACCCCCTTCATCACCGTTTCGAGATTTAAAAAATGAGGCTGTACAACGCTAGAATCGCCTTAGCTTTGGCTAATAAAAGCGCCTGTGGCAAAGGCCTGTCTTGTTCTTGCTTCAGTCTTGGGTTGGGAAAATCGTGCGTAGAAACTTTGCGTTCGGTCTAGGAACCTGTTCGACTCGCGTGAATTAATCTTTCGCGGCTAAGTTCCGAGAACCCACAGACTTCGAGATTGTCAGTTACCGTGCCGTGCGAGAAATAATTCGGAGTCTCGTTCGTTCATCCGACTAGGAGAGTTGGTATTACATTGTTAGAACCTGACGTATTCAAGAGGCAGTATTCGACAGTCGCCGACCAAGGAAATCATTATGCACTTCATCAAGACCTGGAACTGAATGGTCATTCCACAATCAGCTTCAGTTCAGTTCGTCTAAGTGCTAGGTGGTCCACATTCGTCCCAACCTGACATCGTATACAAGCTTGGGGAGCATGCCTTGCGAGCAGTCATCCAGGAGCGAAAACAAGGGGTATTGATCCACCCTGGTCTGCGCTCCTCAGAACAATCTGAGAAGGCGTCAAAGACTGGAAACCAACACGGTATGCTGCGCCTGGCATCCGAGCTGTTTCATTCATCCGTCTGTTCGCAATGGTGTAACACATCCGTCCTGCCACACGCGGAATACGCAATCCAGGCCAGGCAGCTATGGTACAAGCAAGATCTCGCAGCACTCAAGACTCCACTGCGAAGAGAACCACAGAGCACCTGGTGGGTTGTTCCATCTTCCATATCAACTTAGGCTGAAGACCATACGTCTGTACAGGGGCCGGTATCGACGGCTATGTGGCGACCTAATAATGGCTTACCTGATATTTAGGAACCCAACCACGTCTGCCTCTACCTACTGCAACTCAGTCGCAACACAAATTTCAGGGACCACCAGCTCATGTTGGCCAGGCAACAGAGTTGACTGGAATGGCGGCGGAACTTTTATTCCCTTCGTGTCTGCCAGCCATGGAATGCCCTAGTAAATTACGTTGTTTCCGCCCCTACGTTACTTGTGTTAAAAACCGCCTTTCCCTAACCTACCTACATTTCGAGATATAGCCTGTGCACTTTGACAACTGATATAATGTGACGAACGTTGCACACCCAGAAGTAATTTGCACAATCGAGATTGACTCTTTTCCGCATGATTCTGTGTGAATACCGTGATGAGTTCAACAAAAACGGTTTGCATTTGCTCACGGTATTTTTGCTTCACCAGGTTGTGTTTCTCCTTCTGGCTATCCTACGGGACTTTTGAAGCATCTGCTTTTATTGCCTGTACTTTACCATTGTCCTATGTTTCCAATGCGTTTGTTCACATGACAGCAACGTTGCTTGTGGTTAGGACAAACTTTTTACAAGGTCCAGTTGATACTGTACACTATCATCCTGGACGAGTCTGACGCAGTGGTTACTTTGCCTTGTATGGATATCCCAAATTTCTTCGCTCGGCGAGTTCACGTGGGTGAGCCAAGCGCAGTCTTTCAGTGCCTTGCAGTTAAGAGTCCTGATCCTTAGGAACGACTTAATCCTTTTCGAGAAGCTTATTTTGGTTTCTGATGTGCTTACCACCCGCCGGTTGTATCTGTCGTCAAATTACCACAAGCCACTTCAGGGAAACATTCACGTAAGAAAGACCAGCTTGTTGTACCAATGAGTTAGCGAGAGTTATTATCGTTTGTTACGAGGTGAGATGAGAAAAACTACCAATGGAGCAGCCCGCACGCACACACCTTGAGTACAATCTAAACCTGTGGATCATATACTGTACCGGAAACGTGCACAGAGAAAATCAAGCACACTGACATTTGTCACACATGCTGGTGTAGTACACCTCCCGTACAAAAACGACATGTTCCAACGAGGAGCACAGCTTATCAAAAGAAGCAAAATATGTATAGTATAGTGAATTTTTAGTAAAGTACCTCCTGGTCTAATGTGCTATACTTGGAAGCTCTGAACTAGTGGTGCTGTTTGGTGTATTTTGCTACCGCTATGTTTGTTTCAACTCAAATTCAAAAACATGCTGATTTTGGAAGTTACCTCATAAAGTTCATGCTAATGAACCTAAATGTTTCCGTGTGTAGTGAGACTGAGCACTGCAAGTTATACCCTAGCAGAACCTTCGCACGGCGATCGAACGTTTTGACGACAACATCAGTTTACAGCAATGCAGGCTGGAAGAGTTCGAAACCACATTTTAAATGCCTCACGCCGGCTAAAACACAGGCATTCTTTGAATCGGACTTTGTTCCGTAGGAGGTTTATAATCTGCACTCTGGATGAAAGCGTACACTAGCAGACGTACTTGAAAAATAGTTTGGAGTTTTTCTTTTCACGAATTCTCTCCCTTGTTGAACGACTTCGGCTGCAATCTTTTGTATCTGTCGCAGTTCTCTCACCAGCGTAAATGGCATAGTGGACCAGTAGCGACTGAGAAGTCCTGCAATGCGACCTGCAGATTGTACAGGGGAAATCAAACGACATCAGAAACAGAAAATAGCGAACAAGGTTGTTTTCAGGGCTTCATCGTCAGGCTAATACAACCACAATAAAGCAAGCTAGAATAGACACAGTGGGTTTAAATGTGGACACAGAAGCAGAGTAACCAATCGATAAGTCTACGTGCTTGGTCTGGTTGAGGGGAGGTCAGGTGAAGTGGCGTGACTGCCATGGTTATTCGTGTTGGTCTGAGGTCAAGGCAGGGTTAAAGTATGGAGGAGTTTTTTCTGCGCACATAGGTCCGGGTTATGGAGCCGAACTGCGATCGCCTCTGCTGCCGACAGCAGGCGACACCTGACTGCCCGTGTGTAACGTCCGGGGACACAGTAGATCGGTGTGAATGCGTCATGAGAATTGATTTGATGGTCGGAGTCTACTAGGTGCGACAATACTGCACTCGTTACATTCTTCCTCGCGCCGCTGTAGAGCCAAGCTGGGCAATGCTGTCGAGTCCTAACGGACAGGTACCTGGCCGTTTTCCTAATATACCTTGCTCGACACGAGCAAGAGAAATTGTACACACAGTAGGGGAGGTCTGCGACCGAGGTATCCTGTCTTTAAGTTGTTGGCGCACAATCGGTGTTATGGTGAAGCTTACGCGTAGGTTAGGGACAAAGTACCTTCTCTCTGTTGCTAAGAAAATTCTTCGGGTGGTCCGTTCAGCTATCGCGTCACCGTTAAATGGGAACGATAAGTAAGTTCTCAATTGAAATCAAACGAACCACGTAAAATGCACCAACGATAGAGACATGTAGTCGTTATTTATAGTCAGACGAAACAGAAAAGGCCAACCTTGCACTATTGTATCACCGATCGTGTCAGTCGTGCATTTCTTTTTCATCGGATTAGGGATATTGTGAGCTACTTACAGCTTCTAGCCGTCTCATTAGATAAGGCAATACTTGACCAACAAAGACCAGGAGTGTTAAGTGAGAACGTCACGTCCCATTAATCATAACATCAGAGCGCATCCACTCAAGTTGGTCTGTCTGTAAAATCACACAGACTTAACCGTAACTGCAACCGGGTCTATGGTGTCTGTTTGCTTTAAGTGGTTTCGCTTGCCATAAATCCAGTTACGAGATGAATCGATTTAACTAACGCGTGAATGGCTTCAATACCGGTGCCATGGCTAATACTCCCAATTTTATCCCTTCAAGATTTGGAGAGAAATTGACGCTCCCGATGACTGTGACCTACTTCAGCAAGACCTCAACCGCCTATCCACATGGTCTGCAGAAGTTCTTCTCCCGGTCAACCCAGCCAAGTATGTATTTATGAGCCTAGTGAAGGGTGCTGACGGCCGAAACTGCACCCTTGACGGCCAAGCGCTATATTCCACACCCTCCGTGGAGGACCTAGGTGTACTCTCGCGCTACGATTTGAAGTCCATGGACAACACGAACAGGCTATATCGTAACGGACTGCGTATGCTTTGGGCGCTCAAACGCAGCTTCTGCACATGGTCTGAAGAGGTTGCCGCTCGCCTCTTCTCTTCCATCATTAGACCAATGCTAGAGTACGGTTAGCCCGACTACTTTCTGATTACCCGAGGAGAGGCACAAAAGATCGAACGGGTCCAACACGTTGCTACCAGGCTCATCCCGAGTTTACGTGGCTGGCGGTATGAAGACCGGTGCGAGGAACTAGGACTCTACACCTTGTCCTACCGTCGAGTGCGAGTCGACCTCATTATGACCTACCGTATTCTACATCTCGGTGACTTCCCCATGTTAAGGCCAATGCTGCACTTACGAGGGCCATGCAGCACATGTGGACACAGATACAAACTTGTCGTGCCGGATGTGAAATGTGTTCCCCACCCACTGTGCTTCGAACGGAGAGTGGTAAATATTTGGAACCGTTTACCTGAACATGTGATGGAGACAACATCTGCGCAGCAGTTCAAGACGTTGTTAGATTTATATTTTACAACTATTCGATTTAGAGAACGATTACACACTTAGGATGACATATCACATTTGTGAGTCCTGCAATATCGTGAGTCAGATATTTTAAATGTTACATGAGAACGACAACGATATTCATGGCTGACAAATTTTACAACGTCTTTCACCATATTTCGAAAGAGTTGTACAGAATTCATTTCTACTTGCTTTATAATACAGTATTCAGTATTCGGTACTCAGTAATGGTATGCTTATTGAATATACCGTAGAAACAGAACACAAAATGATTCAAGTCAGGTTAACTCAGATTAGGCTTTGTGCATCAGACTGGGTTTATCTTGTGCACTCAAATAGTTGCTGCGGATGCACCGAAGGATATTGTCATAGAAAAATACGTAACTGCAGAGAAATGTGAAACGTTCCCGCAATTGTTCCTCTGAAAGTTGTTGATGCAAATAGATGTGAATTTCGTTAGCTGGCCAAATTAACTTAAAAGACACGGTACAACATGCTGAGACACGACACACTGCGAACAATAGTTGACTTTGGTATGCTTGGAAGAAATATAGTTTTCGGAAGATCGTGTCTCTGGATATGAAAGTGGCCATTTCGGACCGTGAAGGATAAGTTATTGCATGCATCAAGATGTTTAAAAATAATGGAAGCAGCGAGAACATCTTCGGTTAAATAACTGCATGCCGTAATTTGCTCTGCTGTTTGTACGAGCAAGGTGTGACGACAGAGAGACGGCATAGACGATCAGGAAGAATACACTAAATGACAAACTGATATAATTAATTGTGTGTCACTGAAGGTGCCTTATGTGTTACAATATAGGAACGTAAGTTTTTGAGCTAATGAACGCTCCACAAATGTGGTTAAACCAAAAGAGATTTCGAAACAACTGGACAGCTAAATACATGTCGTATCGTAGCTTCAAGCGGTAATTCCTTCAACCGGCTTTTTCAGTGTTTACAGTTTATGAGTTGTGAATTCATTGCGATCATATCACGAGTTCCATTAACTTCTTTTTCTGCCAATGCTGCCATATGGATTTATCTGCAAGCAGACAAATTTTCATCAACTCTTCTGAATCAGCTCCGAATGAAAAATGAAGTGCTTATAAGTTCAAAATGACCGCTCGCATCAAACACCTAAGTTTGGTAATTCAAGCCGAAATAACAACGCCGAACAGTTTGTACTTTGCAACAGTGCTGGGAAACCACGGCTGCAGTGAACGTCGGAGGCTGCTGAAGCAATTGTGTGGAAGAAGTACCACCAGTTGTATTAGAGCAGTGGATGTGGGCAAACTCAATGCTGACTTCAGCTCACTCCTGTCAAGCACTTTCTCATTGCCCCTACTGCTAGCCCGGACCCAGCCTCCCTAGTTGATCAAAGTAATGTCAACAGGGAAATCAGAAAACTAGATACATAAAGCTAATGTCCCTGGCGCTTTATCAACTGTGCTTTTGAAGCAGTGTGCCGATTCCCTCCCATTGCCCTTGACTGATATTTTTAACAAGAGTCTCACGTTCGGTAGTAACCCCGACATCTGGAGATCAACTAGAATAAAGCCATTTCCAAAAAAGGAATCGCAAAAGTATTAGCTAATTGTTTGCACTTGTATAGCTTTGAAAGTCCTCGAAAAGCTTCAAATCCCGCGAATTTCCAACGCTACTCATTCTGATGATCTCTGTCAGTTTACCGTTAGACGCCAGCGCGATAGCCTAGATACTATCTCGTACCTTGTGCAATCAATAGCGTCTACGTTGGATACGAAGTGCAGGTCAGTACAGCGTCTTTCTCTTAACTGTTAAAATACCTTCGGGAGTCTTGACCCATCTGTGCTGCTCAACCTATTTACTTTCGACGGAGTCTACCGTAATGTCTGCAACTTATTAAATGACTATTTGTTTGATCGCACTCCCTTTACTCAGTTAAACAACGAAACATCCTCTCTACTTCGCGTCGAATGTGGCGCTTTGCATGAAGCCATCCACTCAGCAATGCCATTTTCTTTATATGTCTTAAGTCTTATCATACCATTAACACTTATTGGACACAATTATGCTGACAAGGTTGGATTTGGGTGGAGAGCTCCCTACACTTTGATATCTCCTACGCTTAAACATAGTTAATAAGAACTCGGTATGCGGTTATCAGCCAGGTCTTTTAAATTTAACGCTTTTAAATGTACCGGTGAAACATAATCATTTACGCATCCTGAAAATCGCGAGCAACCTTAGCTGCCTCGCTTTCATTAACTCTGAATAACAAAAGCATGGCTACTTCATCCACTGTCAAATATTTTTCCCAAAGTCTCCATGCTGGGAAGTCTAATTTTGCGATTTGAAACTACATGTGTTTTGCCCTACTAGTTGTACTGTTCCCCGATAATCCTCCCTGGACTACTGCACCAGGGTCATATTTCGACCGCACGATCCATTTAACATGCTTCTAGATGTAGCGACTTATCTAGGGATTTCATAGTCCATGTAATAAGACTTTTTCTAAGGCCCTAAGTGATGGTTTGTATCCAATCCATACGGCTCTCTCAAGAACTTCTGTTCCTTACACGCGCTCAAAATGTAAGGTTTCCTTCTTGCACACTACGTCGTTTCGTAACAATCTGCTGCCGAATTCGTTACGCTTTCATGTCGATTCAAAGAAAGCCACATTTCCGCTGTATCAAGCGTTGCTCGCGGATCTCAGTGACATAGTGCTTATGGCGTCAACCATAATCCACTAGGCTCTGAATTCCAGCCCAGCTGAGGCTATCTCCACCTGATGAGTCCAAACCAGGATAAAACCGCGGTTGTGGAGTGCCAGTGTTGGGAGGAGCAACCCCATAATATTTCCATTTTATCTACGGTCCTTGTGATCGGAATGGCCGAGGTCCACCTCAAGTGAACCGAGGTCTCAATAGAGGTTGCTTGTAGCAAACTGACCACACAGCGGATTATCCAAGTCCAACTTTGAATTGGCTTCGGCAGTACCAAGCGTCGCTCGCGGATCTCAGTGGCATAGTGCTTATGGCGTCAAC